CAAACTCTGATATAGGGATTGATTATGAGGACGGTGTATCCACTATGCTGAATAGGGGTGGGCATTGGGTGGGTCGGGTGGATTTTGACCATAAAATGCACCCACCCGCGCTTAAACGGATTGATAATTTTTAACCCACCACCCACCCACATTTAGTCTCGGGTTGGGTCGGGCAGATGGTGGGTTTGTGGGTTCACCCACATCACAATGTATATAATATATAAAGGAGTCAACTTGACATGATAATAGGTGAAGAGAATCATCGAGGGAAACAAGAAGTTGAAATAGGGCGAAAAATGTCGAATTCGTTCTTAAATTGGATAGAAATTCTATTATGAAAGAGTTTTGTACAGATTGAGACGATTGTTAGGTGCAAGGAACTAAGGAAAATAATTCCACAAAGGAAAGAGCGGTGATCTAGGCACAAGAATTAGAGGAAAAAGTAAAGGAAAGAAGAGGGGATCTCTATTTGGAAGGTTGGCTTTGAGGTTCAAACTCCAGGAGCAGTCCGAGTTTATATCTAACGTCTCCACTCTCCTCTCTCTAGCGCCAATGACTTTGATCTTTTTGCTGTTGGGTTGAGCGGGTCACCCGCACACTCACCCACAACCCACCCACCACCCGGCGGATGGCTCCCAGCGCAACCCGTCACCCACCCACAGACCCACCCACTTAACGAAATTCGGGTCAAATGCGGGTGGGTCGGCCCAAACCCGCGGATGATCTGCCCGCATGCCCAGCCCTAATGCTGAAAATTGAGTCGCGATTCAATTTTCAAGAACTCTATGATATTTGTGCAGACAGGGTTTGTACGAGCGAACAAACGAGACTTGGTAAAATTAGTTACCGGTATCCATGTATGAGTACTGGCGGGCTTGTGTACCAAGCAGTTGTCATAAACGATGATGACGCGGTTACGATGATGTTACAGTTCCTAAGCGATAACGGGATGCGGCAAGCAGAGGTGTATGTTGAGACCGAGGCGGTCGGTGAAACTCATTCTCACCAGTATTCTTATGATGATGGTTTTGCAGGAGGGTATAGATGGGGTGGTAGTTCGAGCAACTACGAAGGAGGTGGTTATACAGGAGGTTACGGAGAGGGTGGTAGTTCAATCAACTACGGTGGAGGTAGTAGTGCAGGATGGGTGCCATCGGAAGAATACTCGCAACAGGATCAACCTGCCGATGGCGTTCAATGGCCTGCTTGGGGGCCTGAGTGAGCTGAAATCGAGAATACCATTCGAGCAGGGCGTACTTCACATGAGCGAGAAGACGGTGTTGGTGATGGTGGTCATGTTGATCCTTCTGGGCCGAGCTATCCATTCGACTTGAGCGACGATGATACTGAGGAAGATTTGAGATCAGTGAGCGAGGAGGAAGATACTGATGATAACGACGAAGAAGACGGTATTTCGTGAGGCACCGACACCATACTACACACAGGTTCCAACTCAATTTTTACATAGTCAGAATGATGCCCCCGACTTTGTCCCTATGCCAGTGTATAATCCGACGGCCAATTTGGAAGAACAGGAAAACATCAATTTGTTAGTTTAAATAAAGCAAAATAAAACCGTAGAAAATAATAAAATAAAGCAAATAAATCATCAAATTACCGGATTGTTATCCCTAATAGCACGGGAGCGATGAACTTCTTCATCGGTTAAGAGTCTCATATCTCTTGGCCCATAATGGATATATAATCGAGGATCGTATATCTCGGCACCCATCTATAAAAAAAGTAATGAAATTAGAGATTGTTTCGATAAAAAAAATCACAAAATCAAATTGTTTCGATTAAAAATAGAAACACACAAAAAAAACCAAAAACCTACACGAAGAGCCGCTTCGTCCATTTTTTGGCAGAAGCCGGACAGAGGTTCGACGGGTTCGGGTTTGTAAGGGACGTGAACTTAGCAGGAAGGGGGCTTTAGGGTCAAACTCTAGTAATTATTTCTGATGTGGAAGATCGGACTTAGCCGCAACCACAAAGCATACTTAGAACGAGGCTAGAGTGGATAAATTGAGGGAGAAAGAATTGTAATTGTTGTGGTGTGATTTGTAAGTGTGGGGAAGGATTCTATTTATAGTGGGGGAAGGGTTCTGTCGAAAATTGAATTGGGGAAGAATTGTAATTGTTGTGGTGTGATTTGTATCACGGTGAATACACCGCCTTTATCGAAGACGGTGAAAGGGGCGACATGGCTTGCTGTGAGGGGTCGGATTTGGGAAGAAAACCACGATCCGTGCCTCATCGCATCTGACGGCGACGGTGAAAGGAAAAGCGACGCGGATCGCTGACGCTAACAAACACGGGGTATTCACCGTGTTTGTCTAACGCGGTGAATACATCGCGTTTGTCCACGTCAGCAATCCGCGTCGCTTCATCGTGACCTATAGAAACGGCTTAATTTACACCACGTTTCATTAAAACGGTGATTTATTCACCGTTTGCCTCTAAAACGGTGATTGACTCGCTCGTTGTTCACGGTGTTAGAGAAGAACGGTGAATACATCACCATTTTTTTTTTTTTTGAAACGGTGAAATATTCATCGTCTTTGTCAAACGCGGTGATAATCTTCACTGCGTTTGTCAAAAGCGGTGAATGGCAAACATGTGTACTTTGGGAAATTTTTTTATAACTTATGTATTTTGGGAATTTTTATTAAGAACATGTGTACAGTGAGATTTTTTCCTGCCATCATATCTCCCTAGGTTGGGCCTTGCTTCCGAAGTTGGGGTTCAACATCCTTATGGTCAGGACGATGTCGCATAGATTTGCATCGCCCTCTAGCCTGAAGTTGTAGTCATCCGTTGGTGTTCTTGCTTTGGTTCCTGGGTTTGGTCCTAGTCCAATCCAATTACATTCTTTTAGAATATTTTGATATGAAAATCCACATAAGAAAGACATCAAATGTATAAAAACACTAATACGAACTATCAAATGCGCATGGGACCATTTATAAAGCAGATTGATAGTAAAAGTTGCGAAAGATATATCAAAATGATAAATCATGCCAAGAAAAAGGAAATAAAATGGGTTAATTGCAAACTTGGTCATTGAGATTATTAAAACGGTTCGTGTTTGGTCACTACAAATACTTAATTCTGTTCGTGGTCACTAAGATTAGTTAAACATTTCGTATTTGGTCACTCTCCGTCCAGCTCCGTTAACTTTGTCTGACGTGGCAGTCAACTTTCATAGTTGACCGTTAAATGTGTGACATGGCAATTAAAAAGTAAAAAAAGATAAAAATTTAACCTTTTAAAATCTACACCTCATTTTTAAAACAATTAAAACGAAAAATAAAACTTTATTTCTTACCATTAATCCCTAAACAAAGTTTGGGAGCACGATCAAAAAGCAATCGGTCCCCTAAGCAATCAATCCCCCACAATTGATCTGTAAAAGAAAAAAGCATTCACCCACAAATACAATTGATCCATCCTGTAATTCTACACTATCTCATCTTCGACCAATCCCCATTGGAAAGCTCGTGCCCCGTATAGTCCAGCCGCTTCTTATGCAGAAGGGACAACCGTCGATGCCCTCGAGTGGACGAGGGGCACTTATCTCAGCCTTCCGTCGGCCTCCTTCCAGCCTAAGTGTTGGTTAATCTTTGGAGGTTAGAGGATTTGAAACGGTGGGGTTTGTGGCTACGACAATCTGGGTTGGGCTGGGTACGAGATGGCCATAGTCGGGCTGAGCAAGTCACTGTTCGAGCGCGGCTAGATCTGCTGGGTATCGAGCTCCCATGGCGGACGAAGCAGCAATTGGATATTGGGTCGTCGGCGTCGCCCATGGTGAGCGCAAGTAGCACTAAGGCTGTTGATGTGTGTAATTCAATTGCTGGTGGTGGAATTGATGATGCGCCGCCAGCTGTGGATGGATAGTCTCATGGCCTTGGCAGAGGAGGAAGGGATAGAGAGCAATTGAGGTGGCTAGGGTTTGGCTGTTTAGGGGATTATGAGAAATTAAATATATTATTTTTATTGTTATAAAACTGAGGTGGAAATTTTAATAGAATAAATTTTTATTTATTATTACTTTTAAATTGCCACATCACACATTTGACGATTAACTATGAGAGGTTGACTGCCACATCAGACAAAGTTAACGGAGATGGACGGAAAGTGACCAAACTTGAAGTGTTTAACTAATCTTAGTGATCATGAACAAAATTAAATATTTGTAGTGACCAAACATGAACGTTTTTGGTAATCTCAGTGACTAACCTTGCAATTAACCCAAAATAAAATACTATAATTTAAGCGATATTAATATGCAAGCTGGAAAGCCAAGATAAGGAATCCAAAACTCAATAGAAGTATAATCAAATCATAATCTCAAATCCTATAAGCACACTAGGTTCCACGAACCTAAACAACAAAGGTGTCCTAGGCCCCTTGTTTGGTAGTAATATCCATTGTGGTTTGATCCTGAATTTGCCTTATCTTGTGGCTGGGTCTGAACACCATGTAAAACTACCACAAAAGGCATAAAAATACACAAATACAACTAAAGGCTATAGATGCATAAATAAGAAGCAAAATCGTGGCTAAACTACTGATCATGCATCGAATAATGGCCAGTTTTACTAAGAAAATGGTGTGATAAACACTTCTTTTTAAGTATCATCACTTTCCCTCTTTTCTCTCCAAAACAGCCCAAAATTTTTGGAAGCAATCATCAGCTTTGGTTTCGATCCTCGAACGATAGACGACAAAGTTGACCATGTGTTCAACTGAATTATTGAACACTTTTCAAGTCCTAAACATATTAAACGATTCCTTTTTGTGATAGAGGAAGTCGGGCCGAGCATGTCTCTACAGTGATTAATGATGAGTAAATCCCCTTGATTCTTCTGTACCAAAAAGTAAAAGCTGCGACTTCAACAGCCAAGTTGATGTCTAAATTTGAAACACGGCTCCCCTTGCACACCGAGCAGCAAGTTCAACAGAGGCTAAATAACTATGTGCAATTTGCTTCCCCTGTCTTAGTGAGCAGCAGCGGCGAATGCATCATCAGTATCCACCTTCAACTGCCAAACAGATACACAACCATCTTTAGTTCATATGGCATTTTCCGACAACAGAGAAGAAACACAATCGAAAGCAAACAGTGGGAGGTAGTGACGCTTACAAGCCTCATATGATTATGCAAAGCTCCATCCAACATACTTTTGAGCTTCTCAGATTGATCAACCATGCAGCCAGATGCAATTGAATCCTCCAGTTGGCACCGTAACAGCTCTACAGTCGAATATGGAAACCATGAGGCAAATGGCTTCTTACGCTTGATAATGTCCGATGGTCGATGCACAAAAAGTGAAAAGTAAATCATTATCTGTCATAACACTGGCTGCTCAATTACAAGTACCCGAGAAGTTAGGCGCGAGCCTAATTCTAAAACACATCAATATTGCAAGCAGTATATTAAGCTGCACCAGATGATGAACTCGATATTTTAGTTCACAAGATGGCAATGTGTTCTTTGATAGAGAGGGGTACTACCAGCAATGGCATACATAATTTTCGAGGGGCATCTAACAACAACATATTCGTTTTCTTTCAACATCCAGAAAATGGTACCTGAACAAATATATACCATTTCTACCCAACCCATCTAGTCAGGAACAAGGAAGGGACAAGGATCATTTTCACTGAGACATCAAAAGATAGACCACAGACCTAAAATCTGAACCAAACACAAGAGTAATAGTCTGAATTACCACTGCTGCAAACGAGTCAATATACTCGACCAAAAGATTTACTGCTTCCTTGTGCCGAACACACTCTACATATAGTTGGAGCAAGGCATCAACATTTGATTCTTGCCCCGTCATCCCAAAGGTCCTGTGGTAGGGACCATCCTGTTAAATCCATCACACCGTCACAACTATTGCTAGATTAAAATGAGTTTCTTGTGCCGCCCACAAAATTGTCACATAGCATACCTAGCTCGAGAATAATTCTCATATTTTAATAATGAAGACGATGATAAGTGCAAAATTCAACGAGTAATCTGATGCTTCCATTTTAATGGGTGTGAAAATCTAAGAACCTATACATAAGCAGTTTCCGGTAACACATAATTCCAGAACTGAACCACGGTGACAATCCGTAACAAGCAACAAATGCCCTACAACTTTAGGGACTAAAGTTTATGCTTCTTTAGAGTATGATGATATTTGTGTGCAAGAGAAACATTAAAGTTGACACTATAAGAGAAAGGCGTCTTCAAGAGATTATCCAAAACGAACAAGTTAGATATCACTACAATTCAGGGACATAGAAGAAGGCTGAGTACCTTGAACATTTGTACAAGCCAAAGAGGCAATTCAATGAGGATCTGTTCGAAGTAAAGTCTCAGCAACAGTTACTGGCAATCCAGCATGAAAGACCTTATACTGCCTCTGCGAGGGGAAAAAAATAAAGAACTGTTCATAAAACAAGTTCATTTAAAAACCGAATTAATAGGTGACTAGTAGTCGCACACTGATACGCACTATATAAAACTCGAGAGTTTCCAATTGTGAATTGTCCTTAGGTGGCTGACACATAGACCTCATTCCAGGTGAAGAGTGAATCTTTTCTTACCCCGAGGATGCCAAAAGAAGTTGGTTCCTCCTTAAATAGGCCATGATAAATTTAAATGGTATTCCAAACTTTATCCACACTAGCACTAGTTTAAGGAGCAATCTTACTCAGTATGAGAGCTTATTTTACTTGGACAACATTTCAATGACATGGCCGAGAATATTCTTTCTAGTTCCCTGCAGCAAGACAAAGGTAAGTTGAGAAGCATGTTAAAGAACTCGTGTATTTCCAGGATACCAGGCATTACGAGTCAGTGCCTTGTGAGATGTACCTCCTCAACGATGATCCCTTCCTGAATTTCAATATAACAGTGAATGTTGTATCATATAAGTTTGCCTGGACCAAGATGCCAATCAAAACTGATGGGACTTCTCTTCCTGATGGAGAACTTACGAAATGAATAAAAGAACATAAACTTCAAGACAAAAAATGAAGCAGGAAGGAAAGTGAAGAGAGACATGGCTAGTTAATGTAGATTGCAAAGGGATTTCTTCACATTGTTCCTGTCATCATCACCAATATTAGTCCAATCACAAATTTTCTAATTAAGCGCTTGACTGAACCTGTGATAGCAATTCAAAGCACTTCACCAACACAAACACGATCACAAAGTTTTAAATACAATTGAAAATAAGCCTTACCAGTTGTAGAACACCATTCAATATTCACCAGTGACAGTGCATACTCAGCTGAAGTCAGCACAAACTCGTCCTGAAGTTTATCAAGGTCATTATAGCCTTGCAAATTCGGAGACTGGACATGATCATTAGCAACTGCGCCAAAAGGAAAACATGAATTACCAACTCTAACCTCATAAAACTTTTGTATAACTGAAAGGATAAAAACAAAGAGAATGCCAAAAGTTGCAATATATCACTGACAATAATTGCCCCCAGGAGAGCTCCAAGAATGTATTCACAGCAAATAGTCGGTAAAGGAGATATGATTGAGCACGTTCAGTTGAGAAATATGTATAGTGTTCCATCTCTTTCTTTTTTGCCCTTTTATGAGAAGGATGCCGGTTGTTCTGGGACGGAGGATCAATCCAAGCATATGCTGGATGAACAAGATGCAATGCATTGATTGCTGCAGAGATACCGTTCAGCCTCTCTTGCAGAACCCATTTGGAGTGCTGGTGATCTGTAGTGAGTACTTCATTCTTTAGCCGGATTGAGTATTCATATATGTAACTTGCGGCCAATTCTGCCGATGTGTTTCAAATGCATAAAGCAGCTTGTAAACGTTGGGCTCTGCCAAGATATTTCTGCGCTCTGCCTGCATAGTCGAGGAAAAATCATTATTCCGACAATGAAATTGGGTCTGTAAAAAATAGTTAGATTGTTTTCTCTTTCCACGGCAAACTTTCCAAGCAAGCTCACGCTCTATCTTCTCAGCAGAGCCTGTAAACGGTAATTTCCCATCACAGAGAACCTAGCATCATAAGAAATGAAGTCAGTTGGTGCAGCGTCCACTGACCAAATCTTATCTCACTTGGTGTATAACAGCTACTGACTAGATGCTAGCTGAACGGTTGATTTCCAAATAGTTGGGCAGTAAACAATGTAACACAAGGTTCCGCAGTCCATAAAATTCAAATGCATACCATTGACATACCTTGTAACAGTCATGCATTCAAGAAACAAGATAATATTAAATTTTGTGAAGACAAACTTCATACAGGCATGGAAAGGGGTTCGTTTGTGTTAAGTGTATGTACTTAGAACCAGTGGCGGACCTAGAAATTTTTCATAGGGGTGTCCTCTTTTAAAAAATAAATTAAATAAAAATAATTGATAAATATAAAATTGTAAATATGAAAATACCTTACTCGTATAGGTTAAAAAAGTTCATGATATGTTTTCATATTCGAAAATAATTGTAGAATACACTTGGTGTCTATAGTGTTACAAAAATTGTCTCTATATAGACTGCTAGCTAGACAATCATTCACGAACTTATCGCATATTCGATTTGTAAACTTGTTCTTGATGTAACTCAAAGCTGAAAGACTCTTTCAACACTTGCCGTACAATTATAAAATCAATACAAATTAAGGGTAGTTTGAAATTAGTTTAATTGTTAGGTTTTTAAAATAATTAGAGCTAGGGAATGCCATTTTACTATTACACATTGTTCAAAATCGAACAACAAATGAGTTTAGCTCAACAGAAATTAAGTTTATTAATATTAATAGTGTTTTAGATTTGAATTATCCAACCTACCACTTATATTCCTATACACAAATGACAGTAGGATAATCATTTTTTCAAATTTAAGGGGTGTCCATCCCTATCAATTATATTTTTTTTATCCATACGTAAATTACCACCGAGAGTTGGATAATCGTTTCCCCAAAATTTAGGGGTGTCCGGGGACACCCCTAAACCTCCCTGGGTCCGCCCCTGCTTAGAACATGCATTATCTTGCAAAGTAGAATAGACATGCCCACAATAAACTTTAAAGTTGGCCTCAAACCTTCACTGCTCCGTGCGTATTAATGAAACGTCGGAGACAGATGTGTTTGATCTCTTCGTCCGGAATCGAAGTTATTGCACAATATGCCTCATGAAAGCGATTCAGGTCTAAATTAAACTCGAAAACTTTTTCCCATATTCGTCCCTTGACAGTAACTGCTGACTCATCAAGCGTTGGCTCCATATGAGATCCATCTCTTGAACTCGTAGCTTCATCTACTTGCTCAAGTGCAGAGAAAGCAAACTGGCAAGCGCCCTCATTAAAACTTCATTTCTCAAATATTTGCATGCCCCATTGGTAGGGATGGCAATGGGTCGGGTTGGGGCGGGTTTTGCCAAACCCGAACCCAAACCCATGGGTTTGGCCGTCAAAAAAACCCGGGGTAAAACCCGCTGGGTTTGAAAAACTCAAACCCAACCCAACCCGCTGGGTATCCGCGGGTTGATGGGTACCCGTGGGTTTTTTTGGTAAAATATTTATAAATATTAATTAACAAGAAACTATCAAAATAAAAAATCAAGCATAAATCTCACCATACAAACTATCCATACATAAAACATCGTTCTAGAAAATTCAAGCAAATCACACACTATTCATACAAATTGTTCAACTCCAATCTAGAAAGTTCAAAGTCACAAATTATCCATACACAACACGATTAATTAAAGTTCCTCCTCCTTGAGAACTTGAACATTGTCATCTTAGCTTCACTCTCAGCTCCATAACATCGACTTCATTCTACAGAATTAGGTAGACCAAAATTAGAAATGTCTCCACAAACATAAGAAAGATGGATTTTTAAAGAAGATAGTTATAATATAAAATATACCGGTAACACATGAAGCACAATCTGGATCTAGGTCATCATTAACAGTGGCATAAGTCATGAGCTTATCAATTGTTTCCAAGCCATCTGCAATTAGGATAGCAAGTTAGAAAATAATGGTAACCAACAATATCATAACTCAAAACATGTATTAAAGTTCATATGTGAAATCAAAGTTAATCAAGCTACCTGGAATGGTTGAATGGAGCAACCAATTTTGAGCACACATTAGAACCTCAACAGTTTCTGGGAGAAGTCTACTGCGACTAGGGCTAACTAGTCTTCCACCGGCACTAAAAGCAGACTCAGAAGCCACAGTAGTCACTGGAATTGCAAGTATGTCTCTAGCAATCAATGCTAAAGTCGGATACTTTGACTCATTTGCCTTCCACCACAACAAAATGTCAAATCCAGCTGTCTTGGGCAAGACTTTCTCCTTGAGGTAGCCATCCAACTCAGTTTCAACATCTGCACTGCTAGTAGTCAACGATGCTACATACCTATCATATGCTGTCATTCTTCCTCCACCTTGACTAATCGAACTCCCATCATGAGACGAATTTCCTTCTTGACTCCCATCCACATTTAACTTCTTATAATCCTTCTCCAATTCAACCAACAATTGTCGAACACTCTCAATACATGCCCTTGATTCAACGCCATAGATATCTGGAAAATAGCACTCCAACAAGGTAAACTTATACCTTGGATCAAATACAGCAGCAATAGCTAAAACATCATGAATAGTACTCCAATACTTCTCAAATTTTGTCATCATGCTTTTGGCCATATCTCTAATGAAAGCATCATCATCCAACATCCAATTAGAGATGCCCACCTTTATGTCGCCCACCTTTTCAAAGAACAAATTGGAAGTTGGGTATTTAGCACCTGAAAACAGCTCAGTCACATCATAAAATAACTCCAACTTGTCACAAACCTTCCTTGCAAACTCCCAATCAGACTCACTAGGTAAAGTCTTGTAATCCTTATCCATTTGCTTCAGACGAGGAAATACAATCTTATACTTCAAAGCAGAATGAAGCATCAAAAAGGTAGAGTTCCACCTAGTTGGGCAATCCAAGGAAAAACTTTTCCCATAAGAAATTTTCAATTGTTTTGCAACTATTTCAAACTTCTCTTTCCTTTTAGGAGTTGCTGTCCAGAATTGTACACTATCACGGATGCGCTCTACACTTCGCTTTATCACATCCAATCCATCCTTGACAATCAAGTTAAGAATATGAGCACAGCAACGCATGTGAATTTTAGCCCCAGACCACATCAAACGCTCAGGATTCAACTTATACTTGACCAAGTCAATCAATGCATTATTCGTACTACAGTTATCTAGAGTAATTGCAGACAACTTCGTATCAACATTCCACTCAAACAAAGTTTCGATAAGAACCTGAGCAAGTGCTTCACTAGTATGCGGGCAAGGTACATATATGAACCTACAATCAAAATATAACAACAAACTAAAGGTTAGATGCTGCAAGAACAAAAAAAACAAGCATGAAAAGGCCAAAAATAGGTGCTGCCAGCATACTAAAATCACATAAAACAGTCCAAAAAATCACACAAAACAGCCCAAAAATCACAAATTAATAAGCAATGATTAAAGAGGATTAAATACCTAAGAATGTAGCTCCGCATTGTCCAAGAAGCATCAATGAAATGAGCAGTCACCACCATAAATCCCTTCTTTTGATTAGTAGCAGTCCACATATCGCTAGTAATCGCTATCCTACTCGAATTCTCATCTATCATACTCATAAGCATCTTCTTCTCAACCTCAAAGATCTTGAAAATGTCACTCTTCAATTTATTTCGACAAGGGCACTTGAATAAAGGTTGAATGATGAAGAGAAATCTTCTAAAACCAATATGTTCAACAATAGAGAGAGGGTACTCATGTAATATAATCATGGAAGCTAAAGCACGCCTCCCTTCTTCCTCATCAAATCTGGTGCCACTTGCTTTGCTAACATCTCCTTTCAAATTCTTTGTCAAAAGCATTTGTTTAAGATCTTTGCATTTTTTCCTCGGACATGTATGTTGAATATGCTGGCGCAAATGACTGGTCCCGTTATTAGTAGAAGCAGATAAGAGCTTCTTACATCGTATGCATTCGGCTCTAAGAACCCCATTCTTCAAAATCCTGTTGAAATGCGGCCAAACATCACTTTTAAGCCCACTTGTATCAAGAACATTAACCACATCAGATCTTGTTGGTTGTCCACTATCCATTGCACCATTAGGTGCTGCAGCTCCATTACCACTCTCACTTGCGGGATTAGGAAGTTGGGACTGAGATCCCGCAGTAGGTGTAGAAGTAGTACCAATAGTCTCATCACCTCCACTAACAATTGGAGTTCCGGCTTCAGAGGCATTTGAAGCCATATCAAGCACCTACACAAAGCAAAATCATAGTGAATTGAGTGATAGTTTCAACTTCCCAACATCATAGAAAAAAATATGCAACACATCCAAAATACCAAATCTCATATCTAATAGCACATCCAAAACAACAATGGTGAGTCAAACCAGAGCCTCTCCCCTTCCACCTGTTGGGATAATTTGGTGTCGTACAAATTGGTTTAGAGTCTTGGAATTTAAATATTCAAGCTTTATTCTTTAAGGCTTGTCTGTTGAGAAAGCCTTGCTAATAAATAGTTGTGTAGCAGTAGGATTTGCAGGTTAAACATTGTATTTATGCTTGTTTTTCCATTCAATAGAATTATCTTGTTTGGCCTTCCTATTCTGTTTAACACCACCATCTCCTTCTAGGGCCTCCGCCCTCTCCGTTTACCTTCCACCATCGCCAGAACAACCTCCCTCCCAAGCCTAACCAGTCCACCTCATATTTAACAGACAACCATCCTTCCATTTAACAGACAGCTAGCAATCCCGCAAGTGAGAGTGGTACCTGGCGGCGTGTCTCAGTGTCTGGCGGCGCAGTCGACGACGTGAAGGAGTTGCTGAGGAGCAGGGGCAGCCGGAGAGGGTGGCGGCGCAGATGAGCAGGGAGAGCCGGACAGGCCGGTAATAGTGTCGGAGAGGCGGAGCCGGAGCAAAGTAAGAGGCTGAGCAGGGGGAGGGTGGCCGTCGGATTGGGAGTCGGGACTGGAGATGGAGAAGTCAGAAGAGGAGTCGCGGTCTCGCTCGCCGGAGAGGAAGAGGAGTCGCGGTCTCGCCGGAGAGGAAGAGGAGTCGCAGCCTCGCAGAGAGTCGCGCGGAGAGGAAGAGAGGAAGAGAGGAGTCGCGCGCGATTGCTTTGCCGATTAGGGTTTGGGAATTGATTTGTGAAAGTGAAATGTCTCTGGGGTGGGAAGGGAAGTGGGCTGGGGGCTGGGGCCTGGGAGTGGGGAGTGGGCCGTGGGGACTGTGGACGGGTTATTTAGAGGATAGGGTGTATGTCCGGGTATCCACGGGCCGGGTTCCCCCAAACCCGAACCCGCCCAACCAGCCACCGGGTTTAAACCCGAACCCGGCCTGAACCCGGTCAACACGGATTTTACCAGGTTTGACCGGGTTGGGTCGGGTACGCGCGGGTCCGGGTTGAACTGCCATCCCTACCCATTGGAAGTAATGCAGCTTCCATGCAGCAGATGATACAGAATCGTCTAACAAGGAAAAAAAGAGAAAGGAAGGAAGCAAAGTCAAATCCTCCAAGAGCCATATATCTTTCCGAACCTAAGAACAAATGCTGTGACAAGCTTACCTAGGCAAAGAGGTGGTAATCCTGTGTCCTGAGAAAAAGCTTGAAAATGTTTTGAGGCTCGTTCTCCCGAAGAAGCTCTGATTTCCAAATTGCAGAAAAAAAAAACATATCTTAAATCTGAACAAACATTCAACTCAGAAAATGAATATGACCGAAAGATAGGAGAAATAAAGATTCGGCCGTTTTCTTCGTTTGTATTTCGCCCCCAAGCTCACTAATCTCTGACTTCATCAAGTGAAGAAACACGGAATCTTTATATCTTAGATATGAACTCACCCACATCAACAAAAAAGACAATATAGAGAACCGCGAGAGATTCATAGCAATACATCAATTGTGGAGGATATGGTGTAGGCTTTAAGAATTATTTTTGGGATGTGGTACCGGGTACAAGAATGAAAAATTACAGGTATCAGGTAGTCTAGATAATGAAGGAAAATGAAGTTTCCAGCATCATGTTACAGATCTACCATAAGAAGTCATTAGATATAGGTTACTTTTGTCACAGGACGGAAGAAAGTAAACATAATCAGAAAGGGAAAAGGGACTGTCCCATCAAAGAAAATTGAAGAATCATGCGACAAGAGTATTATCATATTTTGATAAGAAAAGTCTAGATAATGAAGGGACACAAAGTTAAATTAACCAAAAGTATAAACATGAAAATTCTAGTACCTGAAGAAACTACGAATAGCTCCAGAAATTTTCCTTTCTTTCACCATTCCAGTGAAATGAAATCGTGCCTGAGCAAGGAGACAACAGCCCAAAAGGTGTTGAAGTACACACCAGTCATCATCATTTTCTTGGAGACTTCTAAATATCTTCTCCCTTTGTATATTGGCCTCGACAACACTCAACAGACACCGAATAGCAAATAGAGAAAGAAAGTCATATAGGATACCGCTCGGATGTGCTGCTTCATACGAGTAAAACTGGGAAGCAAACATATAAGAACCTCAGCAGCATAGTACTGCCCATGTCTGAGAAGGGACAGTCCAAGCTCTGCATAATGCAACAATGACGAATTTGATTTGACCCTAGTATTGCCCCAAATTATCCAGCTAGTAAAGTGTCGTACTACACTAATAATATCTCCAGGATTTGGAAAACAATGTAAGGAATGATGGTTTAGGTCTTGAGAAGAGGTTGGATTTGACATCAGAAGAATAAACGCCAAAGTAAAATTAAGTTTGCCAAGTTTGTCGCTCCATGATTGTCTACCATTCTTGCAATCTGATTGATGATAATATAAAAGGGAGGAACGTTCAGTTAGAGCCGGAAGACACTTTCATTACATAAAATGTAGCTGATATAAAAGCAAAGACAATATGCTAAACCACCAAGAACACCTCCAGTCATATATAAGCAAAGTACAAAATCTTTTACAAGAGCTAGTAACAACCTTTCCTTCATACAATGATTCAATTGCTTATTTATAGTATTGATTGTGCAAAAGAAACTCTTACTGATCGTTGAAACAGTCAAGCTCAGTTAAAAAAAAAAACAGAATTATTTCAAAGAGGCCAGGGGCAGAGAAAATGCACAAGCAGGTTCTCTTTTATTAACAGTGTCTATTCTTAAGTGCCCAGCCATGGTAGTAGAAATATCAATCTTCTGGTGCTATAGATATTGATCGATAATAAATCCTCTTTTACATTATTATAAGGCTAGAAAATACGGCAAGCCTCATGTTCAGCCAAACAATACGATTAGGAGCCTTCAATTGTTACCTAGAAGACAAGCCATCATCGAAAACCAACTGCTAGAAATAGCCAATTTGCCAAACATACTATACACAACTTTCAACCAGCCATCACAACCATGGAAGTGCCAAGCAACACAACAAGCATTAGTCAATAGATTCTCTGCAATGTAGGCCCACCCTCATACAATCTTACTAGAACTTGCCATAATCGACTTACCCATACGCAACAGAGAGAGTTGACAACTAAAGTCCACAATCCCATGAAACTGTAATGGCATGGTGACCAGGAAGTAAATTATCAACCACTCAGAAACAATGTTCTGAATCAAAGGAACGAGTTCAAGTTGTATCCTGGATACATCAGCATGCACCATATTAATCTGTATTCAAGCATCAATGAAAAGTGAAAAAGAATGTTAGGGTGTGGGCAGTGGCGGATTCAGAAATTTTTACAGGGGTGTCCTCTTCAAAAATTAAATTTAATTAAATAATAAATTAAATAATTCATATATTAAAAATATCATACGTGTATAAATGTTTTTATTAAAATTCATGATATGTTTTCATATTTTGAAAAAATAATATAAAATAAACTCCGTGTCTGCACTGTTCAAAAAAAATCTACATATCCTACTAGACAATACTTCACGAACTTATCACATATTCGATTTCTAAACTTGTTCTTAATGTAGCTCAAAGTAGAAAAGATTCTCTCAACACTTGCCGTGTAACCATAAAATCAATTCAAAATTAAGGGTAGCGTGTACGTAGTTTAATTATTAGGTATTGAAAATAGTTGGGGATAAAGAAATAGCGTTTTACTGTTGCATGATGTTTAAAATAGAATAAAAAATGAGTAGCAACATAATTAGAATATGTTTGATAATAGTAGTGTCCTATGTTGGAATAACACGGACTACCACTTATATTTTGTTAATCATAAGCAAACTATTATCGAGGGTAGGATAATCATTTTTTCAAATGTTAGGGTGTCCCGAATCACCAATTATATTTTGTATACCCATACGAAATTATTATCGAAGTTTGGATAATCATTTTCCCAAATTTTAGGGGTGTCCCGGGACACCCCTAGAGGTCCATGTATCCGCCCCTGGGTGTGGGAAATGAAACAGTGAAAGACGTGAAAGGCGAATTATTTTGCATGGAAGAAGCTAGTGGGAATTCATCACTCACTTGTTCATACTAAATCCTATTGGCCATCGAATTATTTTTCCAGCTATACAGTGGATACTCTACTAGTCTAACACTGAACAAGCAAAGACTTCAACTTCACCAAAGACGAAAGCAACATCAGGTATGTTAAGCAGTAGTGACCTTGGAAGGAACCAGAGTACACATGGATGATGAATCACATTCATGATAAAGAAAATTGTAGCTAGTTCCATAATATCTCTTTCCTTTCCTTTTCCTATCATAGGCATTCAGAGCAGCATTCTCTTTCAGAGATAAAGTAAGAAAATTACTAGCTAGTACATCCAGAATAAACAGATTGCTACACAGGCTGTTATAGAACTAACACGTTCATGGGGATCAAATGATCCAGACCACGAAACTGAAGCTCGCATACAACAAAAGCTGAGGTGGTTTCACCAGAAGAGTGATGATACATGGATGAACAAATAAGGAAAAAATCCCACTGTACACACGTTATTAAAAAAAATTCCCAAAATACATAAGTTATAAAAAAAATTCCAAAAGTACACATGTTTGGGCATCACCGTGTTTGACAAAAGCGGTGAAGTTTATCACCGCGTTTGTCAAAGACGGTGAATACTTCACCGTTTAAGACAAAAACGGTGATGCCTTCACCGCGTTTAATAAAAACGGTGAAGGCTTCACCGTTTTAAACAGAAACGGTGAAGACTTCACCGTTTTTATTAAACGCGGTGAAGGAGCTGACGTGGACAAACGCGGGGTATTCACCGCGTTAGACAAACACGGTGAATACCCCGTGTTTGTTTACGTCAGCAATCCGGGCCAATTTGCTATCACCGTGGCCGTTGGATGCGGTGAGGCGCGGATCGTGGTTTTCTTCCCACGATCCGACGCCTCACAACACGCCACGTCCCCTAGATATACACCGCGTTTGTTGACAGCGGTGAGTTCACCGCGTTTGACTAACGCGGTGAAAGCCCTCCAATTGAATGCTGCGCAGGCTCCTCCCCCCTTCCCCCAACTATAAATACCCCCTTCCCCTTTCACTTTCAACTCACCCCACAAACAATTCACTTCTTTCTCCCTCAATTTATCCACTCTAGTCTCGTTCTAAGTATGCTCTGTGGTTGCGGCTAAGTCCGATCTTCCACATCAGAAAGAATTACTAGAGTTTGACCCTAAAGCCCCCGTCCCGCTAAGTTCCCGTCCCTTACAAACCTAAAATCGTCGAACCTCTGTCCGGCCTACGCCAAAAAATGGACGAAGAGGCTCTTCGTGTAGGTTTTTGGTTTATGAATTTTTTTTAATTGAAACAATTTGATTTTTTGTTTTTTTTTTTATCAAAACAATCTCTGATTTCATTACTTTTTTATAGATGGGTGCCGAGATATACGATCCTCGATTGTATATCCATTATGGCCCAAGGGATGCGAGTCTCTTAACCGATCAAGAAGCTCATCGCTCTCGTGCTATTTGGGATAACTATCCGGTAATTTTTTGAGTATTCTTGCTTTATTTTATTATTTTCTAAGGTTTTATTTTGCTTTATTTAATCTAATAAATTGTTATTTTTCCTATTTGTTTTAGGAATCGCTTGTTCCCGTGGTTCATAAAGGGACCAATAACTTGCCCGCTTGGCATCCAAGGTTGGAGCCCTACATAGCGAGGACCGGTTTGGGAATGTTGCGCCATTTCTTGCGGATCGAGATCGACAACGATCTGCTTACGGCAATGGCGGAACGATGGCGTCCCGAAACCCATACATTCCACCTTCCGGAGGGGGAAATGACGATCACCCTCAAAGACGTGGCGATCCTCACCGGGCTTCCTATTTCTGGAGATGCAGTCATTGGTTCCACGACCAAACCCGAAGGAGGTTGGGGGCCGCTCATACGTGATCGTTTGGGCTTCGACATGCCGACCACCACACCAATTCAAGGACGGGGGCATCCACCGTTGAATGCGGGGCAAGTGTCGGTCCCGTGGCTGGTATCTCACATCCAGCAAGAGGTGGAAATCAATGACGAGACACCGGAAGAACAAGTCGAGCGCTACGCCCGCATCTACCTCATCGGTTTGGTGGGTGGATTTTTGTTCCCCGACAAGTCCAACCGGTGGATTCAAGGCATATGGTTGCCATTGCTCACTGGTGACTGGGATGCAATTGGAGAGAAGAGTTGGGGATCGGCCGTGCTAGCGGGCGTATACCGGGAGCTGTGTACTTGCTCGAAGGTTGGGGCAAAGCAAGCTGGTGTTGCGATGTTCATCCTGCAACTGTGGGTATGGGAGCATCTACCGATGTTCGCACCTGCCGACCCACGTCCATACCGGAGAAACGATGATGAACTCAACTTTCTGCAAAATCTCCCCTACGGTGTCAAGTAAGTTTATTTCGTACTGAGCCCAATTTAATTTTGATTGTGTACTTAGCTAGATTTAAATTGAATTTATTCTGTAATTTTGATTGCATGCTTAACTAGATTTAAATTGAATTTATTCCGTACTTAGCCCAATTTAATTTTGATTGCATGCTTAGCTAGATTTTAATTTTATTTATTACGTACTTAGACCAATTTAATTTATTATATGCTTAGCTATATTTCAACTAAATTGAATCCGTACTTTTACTTACAAGGTGGATAGGAGCAAATACGAATGACCATCAACCTGAGCATTCGTTATTGTTTTATCGTTCTGAGTTAGATAAACCATGGTGGAATCAGGTAATCATATTTTGTCCATATTTGAACAAGTTAAATTTTGTCAATGTAAATGGTCATTAATTCCGAATTTTTTAATGAATATAGGTTATATGGGATCCATATCCACGTGAAGTGGGTGAGCTGCATCATCTTAGGCACCCTCTGGATCACGAGACGTGGTTGTGCAAAGTGCCATTGATCTGCTGGCACATGGTGGAATGGCACCTACCCGATCGATCTTTGAGGCAATATCGAATGGAGCAACCCATTCCACAAGACCCGCCAGCCGGTTTCAGGGAGCTACATGCTATTGACCTCCGACACACTGCAAAGAACTGGGTGCTAAAGCATGGATTCTACATCAACATCTGGGAGAATCGGTCTCAATGGGTGGTGCAAGGGATGCCGGAGACGAGACCGATGGGCTACCACGATGGATACATGCAGTGGTATCGGAAGTTCACCATGAGATGGGTGTCAAAGCAAGGTGCTGTGATGGGGTCGTTGGTAAGTCATCCTAATCTCCCTCATTCAAAAATCTATTTATTTTAAGGTTTAGTTAATTTGATAATATAAGTGCTTTCCTTAGGTTGATGGTTTGGAACATGCCAAGTACACCCTCGAGAGTGCTCCAACCATGGATGAGCGGAAGACTAATTGGTTGACCCGACTTATGAACAACCTGCTGAGTTGTACAAGAGAGCAAAGGAGGGATGTCGTGGCATATCCTCCCGTTCCTGCCCCGGCACGACCCTCATTCCGTGATGATGCACCCATTGTGCCCCCGGTTGAGCCCCCACGAAGGAGCAAACGCAGGCCTCTACCTACATTCGATGAGGTGCGTACAACTCAAGAAACCGAGATCCCTGAACCGTTCGAGTACCAGTGGGCACCTACAGCGGAAGCCGGTGGAGGGTCATCGAGTCGTGGAGCATCTCAGGAGTGGGACACTTTCTCTCATGGGTTCTCTCAATTCCAACATCAGCAACAGAGTTCGATGTATCAGACCCCGCAACAACAAACTCCGCAACCTCCGATCATTCGCCAAGCTACCGCTCCATCTCAGCCACCACCACCACCATATGTAACCCCAGTTGGGGCTCGGGTCAAGAGAAATCCGCGACAAGCCGTTGAGCGAGCCCGCCAAGAAGCAGCGGCGGAAGGGGGAAGAAGGGGTCGAGGACGTCGTGGAGGACGAGGAGGAAGAGGTGGAGATGGGGGCCAAAATGAAGCAAATGAGTGAATTTATCGTTTTATCATTGTAGTGAACTATCCATGTTGTTTTTTTGCTTTTTAGGTGTTATTTGAGTTTGCATTGTCTAAAAACTATCCTACGCACTTAAGTTATCGAATGAATTTTCTGTATCATTTTATCAAGAATCAGTATCTTCCCTCAACACAAAAAAGTTGGGAAAATCAACCACGATCGCATAGAATTTTACAGATCCCAATTCCGATTCCAAACGAGTGAGATAAGTGACGTCAAAGCGCGATCGTAACGTTAAAGTAACTTTTGCGTACTAAAAACTAAAACGCGCGTATCTTATTCGTTTGTGGTCGAAATAACGAGCCGTTTGCGGTAGCGCGATCGTATCGACAAGGACAACATTTTAGAAACAACTAAATACTTAGAATTCAGATGCAAACGGTAATGAAAAATTAAACAAGCGATCAATTTAGTAGCAGAATACAAGTAAATGCAAATTAAGTTGATGGTTGTCCTGGGCAACGCCTCTTGTCGTGACCAGGTTGTCTGCACTTAGAGCATCGCTTCGGACCCCTTCTCGTCCGTTCAACTTGATCCATCTCATTGTGTATCCTTTCAACTCTAGGACGACCTTTGGTGCGTTTTAGGTGCAACGGTGGGATAATCAACTTTCCAGCGTATATAGGCCAATACGCTTCATCTGGCATGGGGCTCAAAGCTGCATTATATGAGTTCCGTATCGCTTGCTCAGTGTAGTAAGGACTCACCAGGCTGTTTCTGTTCATGGTTATTGACTTAGCAACCGCCATTGCATGTGAACAGGGTATCCTTTCGTTCTGATACTTTTGACAAGAACACTCCCCTAATTCGTAGTGCAATTTAACCGTTTGACGATTGTGACCACGTCTCCCTCCACCCCATATACCTGTTTCGACAGCGAATATTCCTTCACTGCGGTCAAAAAGAACAACCTTATGCTTACTTGATTTTTCATCGTTCTTCTGCATTTGAGCGAATACGTCATGTGCTATTGAATGACCTTGCAACTCCCTCCCTATTGCTAGCTGTAGCCGAGCAACTCGCCATTCGTTGACCTTCCAGTAAGACATCTCCACGATGACAGAAATAGGCATCGCTCGAAGACCCTTGTACACATTATTTATACTTTCTCCATGGTTGGTAGTTGCAATGCCCCATCTGGCCCCGTTGTCCATATGGAACGTCCACATGGGCAACTCTTGACCTTCAGCCCATACTGCTCCAGCTCGGTGGGTATGACGGATCGTTTTCATCTTCTCCTCGTACTTTTTTGGTTGATGTGCAACCGCTAAAAGGTGAACAAAAGACTAACTGGTCAATACATGATGAATAAAATTTTGATTATCAGCTTAATAAACACAAACTTAAATCGCATAAGTAAAACATTAGTACCTGCATTCCAAAGTAAATTCTTGATGTCTTTCTTCTTCCCAAATTTGTGTTGGAAATTGGCGAGCCAGTGTCGAATACACCATCTCCATCTCCACCCCCACTCGTCGGGAAAACCACCAACATCATTCCTTATCCCCGCATGTCGATCGGATATAATCGTAATATCTTCCCGCTGTGTCACGTGCTCGTGCAGTTGGTCAAAGAACCAAGCCCAACTTAAACTGTTCTCCCCCTCCACTAATGCAAATGCAAGCGGGAAAATCCGCCTGTTTCCATCTACGCCAGTGGCAATTAGAAGACATCCTTTGTACTTCCCAGTAAGGAAAGTTCCGTCAACCTGAATAAAAATTAAGACTATAATTAGTATGAAATATACTAAACAACAAATAATACAACATTTAAAACTGGAACTAGTTGGTAAAATACCTGAATAACCGGTATGCAGAACCCAAATCCGTCAATGCATGGTTTAAAAGCCCAAAAAAGACGATGGAACATCAACTTATCCTGTACTCGAACTTGATCCTCAGTGTATACATTGTTGTATACTGGGACGAAAACAGTCCCAGGATTGGACTCCTCCATTGCTCCCATAAGTCTAGGGAGTAAAGCATACGAATCCTCCCAATCACCATACACCTCAGCCATGGCTTTCTGCTTACCATGCCATGCTTTTTTATACCTTATCGTGTAAGAATGTCGATCCTTCACCTCTGCCATGATAGCTTTCACCTTGATATCTGGTTGTGCTTCTATAAGGTGCTTAATAGTTCTCCCAACCTTTTTTGCCTTTAGTTGCCTGTGATCTTGGGAAAGTATAGAAGAGGAGCATGTGTGGATCGTCTCAGCTTTGCGAATCACCCAAGCACCCTTTCTCTTCATATTTGCAGCCCGCAGTTGCCACGTACAACCCTCTGCATCATGCTTGCATATGACATGTAGTTGTTTACTGTCAGAATATTTTACCTTCCACTCGAAATTGCGCCTCAACGCCTCTTCTGTAAACGCATCCTGCACAGCATCTTTCGATGGGAACGCCATACCCACCTCCAAATTGGCCGTCGGATTGTACACTGGCAAAGGGACATAATCGGGGGGATCATTCTGACTATGTAAAAATTGAGTTGGAACCTGTGTGTAATATGGCGTGGGTGCCTCACGAAATGCCGCCTCATCCTCGTTATCATCAGTATCTTCCTCCTCCTCGCTCACTGATCTCAAATCTTCCTCAGTATCCTCGTCGCTCGACTCGAATGGATAGCTCGGGCTAGAAGGATCAACATGACCACGATCACCAACATCGTCCTCTCGCTCATGTGAAGTACGCCCTGATCGAATGGTATTCTCGATTCCATACCACTCTGGCCCCCAAGCAGGCCATTGAACACCATCGGCCTCAACAAATGGGGCTGGTTTAGGAGGTTGCGAGTATTTGTCCCATCCTGCACTACTCGATCCACCGTAGTTGATTGAACCACCACCCTCCCCGTAACCTCCTGTATAACCACCGCCTTGGTAGTTGCTCGAACTACCACCCCATTCGTACCCTCCTGCAAAACCATCATCATAAGAATACTGGTGAGAATGAGATTCACCGACCGCCTCGGTCTCAACATACACCTCTGCAAGCCGGACTTGGTTATCGCTTAGGAACTGTAACATCATCGTAACCGCGTCATCATCGTTTATGACAACTTCTTGGTACACGACCCCGCCAGCACTCATGTCTGGATACCGGTAAGTAATTCTGCCAAGTCTCGTCTGTCCGCTCGTACAAACCCTTTCTGCACAAAGATCACAGAGTTCTTGAAAATTGAATCGGGAACCAATGTTCAGCATAATGGATTCGCCGTCCTCATAATCAATGCCTATGTTAGAGTTTGTCACCCTTCCATTCCACCGAATATTAAGATGAAACTTCTTGAATTTACCCATATCTACAAATCGAGGATAAGTATATATTAGCTTAAAGACAGTAAAACTAACCAAACTAACAACAACATAATACGAAAATTAAATCATACTATATTGTCCATCTCATAACTAACGAAAATAAATTCAACTAACTAACAACAACATAATACGAAAATTAAATCATACTATAACTAACGAACATAAATTCAACTAACTAACAACAACATAATAGGAAAATTTAATCATACTATAACTACTAAAAACATAATTAGACAATAATACGAAAAGTCTCAACATACCGAAAAATGTCTGTTCTGTGTATTATGCTCGATTTTTGTTGCTGAAATTTGAAGAAGGGGGGAGTGGTAAGTTTTTGCTTCTGCTGGTGGGTGGGTATTTATAGGAAAATTTGCTACTATTCACCGTTTTTGTCAAACACGGTGAACATCATCACCGCGTTTGTCTCAAACGGTGAATAATAGGTAGGTGTGACCTAATTTTGACCTACCAGGGGTGGGAAACGTGGGAATATATCACCGCTTTAACCTAAAACGGTGAAGGTA